TTGCCCTATTTTGCCGCATTTGCCACAAATTGGAACTGACTTTTGGTCAGTTTTCCTCAAGTCTTTCAAGGATGTATCCTCTTTCTATCTGGATTTCAGCTCTTCAGCCTTCTTTCCTGATGGGAGAGCTCTACCGTGGCTTGTGGTTGCTGTGGTGGTTGTTCAGGTATAATATCCCGATTTGTAGGCTGAAGACATCTTCAGCCCATCAATTATCTTGTCTACACGAGATATTGCTTTCAACATCTCCTCATTTGAGAAGTCCGCTCTGATTCTGTCATGAGCAATCATTTCCCTCTTCCATTCGAGGGGAATGTAGTTTAGGAACCTGGCGTTGAAGGATGCCTAGTCTGGCAGCATCACCATCTGGGACACTGCTTTGGACAGTTCTAAGTAGAACTGTTTTAGGCCTTTTTCCGCTTCGTATTTAACATTGCAGTACTTCTTTGTCATGTTCACCATGGCAGAGGCTTTAATGAAGGTTCTCATCAATATGTTGAGAACTTCAAGGAACATACCCTCATCTCCTCTGAGGAGAGTTTCATCTCAGAGTCTTATTCTGAGGTCAAACACGGGTCCCCCTAATCTGCGAATCAAGCAGTCCAGATGGACTTCATCGAATTGGAGACCTTTGCATCCTTGTGAGGCAAGGAATCCCAGTAGTTCTGTGAACCACTGCCAGAACGATTCCATGTTGTTCTCCCCTGACCATTTCTTGTCAGGAAAGGCTGGCCCATTTTTTAGAGCTTCAGGCTTCACTCCCTCTGGGTAGGGGGTGAGTATTCTCACTTCAGCCATTCTTATGGCCTTTTCTCCAGGTACTCCTCTTGCTCCCCTGCCTTCGCAGGGTCGCTATCCAATGGAGATCTCTCCTCTGGGGGGGTTTTCACTGGGGGGAATCTTCCTTGCAGCATTTCTTTGGCTTTGGGCGAATTCGCCTGAAGTCGTATTTGGATTCTCTCATTGTTTTGAGAGAGTGTGGTTGTGTTACCTCTCTGTTCAAGAGGTTTGTTGAAGGTGGATGTTTGGCTGAACCTTTGGTACATGCCGATTCTCCTCCTAATTTCTGAATGGTGCCTTCTTTTGGCATCATCTTCTCCTATCCTTGGGAGAAGGATCTCCTTAGCATCTCTGTCAAGTCGCTGATGATACTCCAGTGTACTTTCACTGGTGGTTCTTTTTGTGAATTTTTCACGAGTTCTAGTTTTGTCCTAGCCCATGGCCCAGGGGTATTTTTTTTTGTTTCCTCACTATTTTGTGAGAAGTTTATCTCCTTCAGCAAGTCCATCTGCTTGCTGATTTTGTCAGTCAACACATCCATTGCGTTGGCCATTCTTTCTAGAGTTATCTCTAGATGAGCCATGCTATTGTGGCTTGTTTCCTCGATCTTTTTTTGGATCGAGTTTATAGGGAGTTTCATGGTTGACTGGGCTAAACTAGATCCAAAGTGAAATTTCTAAAGTGGCATGTGAGTGACAAAACTGGACCTAAACTGCATCTAAACTGGCCACTTTGACTTGGGGCTCAAGAGCCCCAATTCAACTTTCTAAACTGCATCTAAACTCAGGCTTACTGCTGATAAATCTGCAGACCCTGAGAGTGTGTCTACTATACAGTTCTTCATCCCAGATCACCTGTCCACTTTCATCAACCATCACCGTCATCTCGTCTCCACTGTCTCCACTGTCACTGACTCCAACATGGTCTTGGACTTCAAATGGGAACTATCATAGCATAGGCTGCTAGGGACATGGAGTATGTGCCTTGTCTCTTTCTCCTTATTCTCTTTCACACAATTACCATGTCACTGACACTTTGGCCTCATGACAGAGCACAGACACATTCATACCACATCCATGCCCTCTCCCTCAGTTCTCCATAATCCCAACCAGCCTGAGTTGCTGCAAGCAGGGAGACAGGCATCGTGACATATGTACAAGGTGAGACATGGATGGAAACAAAGGTGGAGGAAGAGCACTATGGACAATTGGATCAAATTGCAGTAACACACATGCAAAGGACACAGCACTTGTGCGACTTAGAGTGTTACATAATACAGCGTGGTAACGGACTTAGGGGAGCCGGGACCAAGGCACTTTTGATGCACTTCAGACCAGAGCACCGTGAATGCCCTGTTGCAAAGTTCTGAACTGGAGCTAAAGTCACTCTAAACTGAGGTCTCACGTGAGCCAAAATTTGGGTCAGTTTAGATGCAATTTAGAATCCAGTTTAGACTCAGTTTAGCCAACTGTGAAACTCCCTATTATGCGCGATTCCTGGTTTTCCAGGAGGAAGTTTGGTTGGGTGAGCAGTGACTCTCCCCAGTTGACATTGACGCTCCTGGGGGTTCCAGAAGGGGTTCTTGGAGTGAAAACTCCACACTCGCTTTGCCGTTGCAGAGGGTGCTTCCCTTTCATAGAGGGGTCTGTTCGCTGGTTTTTCCTTACTTTTCCATAAGGCTTCCTCAGCAAACTCCCTCATTTTGGTTCACCTCCTCTTCATTATCTCAGAGACCTCCTCCAAGATTGGTGACCTTGCCTTGTCTGGCATGGCATGGGGTAGTGTAAACAGCGGAAGTTCTGTTGGAGCTTCCACGCTCTGGGAGATCCTGCTCTCAGGGCATTTTTTCGCACCTTCTCGGGCTTCCAGCCTGAGAAGAAGTTGGTCTTTGTTTTCCATCCTCCATTCAGATGGAACCTGGAACAAGTCCAGTAGTTTTTCGGATAACCAACATGGAGGCTCTTCCCTCTGTTTCCCTTTCTCTGCCTTTGGGGCTTGACTTGGGGACATGGGGGAGGACTCCAGGGGATAGTGGGGCCCTGGAGTTTCCTGCAACTCTATCCAATCAGCTTTTCAGGCTGATCATTCAGCGCTTATGCATTTATTGTGCAAGTTGATCACCTCCTGAGGAGGTGAGGGATCTTCCCCAGCTTGGGTTAGATCAGTATGATGTGGAGTTCTAGGGGTATTGGGCCCCACACTTACTCCATGTAAGTTTCTAAAACCTTCAGGGGCCAGCCCTGAGGTGGTTGCTGTTTTTGGATCGTGTTGATCCTCGTCATCGTCTGATGACGGCTGTTGATTCGAATCTCCCATGATGGGAGATTGCAGTTTCTTGATGAACCGCTTGTTTCTTTTTATCGTCGCTGCAGATGTGACCTTGCCCTTGCAGGCATGTTTAGGCGCCATTGGCACTACCAAGTCAAGATGTTAAGATTGATAAGTTTTAGTGGGTTGTGTTGTAAAACACACCTCATACACTTAAAAAAGTGTGAGGTCTCAGTGGGTAACTCAACACACAGAACTGTAAATGATACAATGGTGTGTATTTTATGGTGGTGTGTAAGCAGTTAACCAGAGGTTACCGCTTACCCATGTGACTATATGTATCTTTAATTACATATGGCTCAGGGTTCGGGGCTATTGCCCTGACACTTTGCCACATCTCCCTCTCCCATGATCACAATAGTCTCCTATCTGTAAAGCAACTAGAGTTACCTGAAAATTTTATGCCGATTATACCATTGATTGGCCTCTTGGAGTGATCATTGAGTATCCAAGCAGTGGAGGAGCATGTTCTCTGAGGAAATGTGCGGTAATTGATCTATAAGCGCTAGCTCAGTCTCAAGCTGTATGCACGAGAACTATAATTGTATTACCTATAAGCGCTAGCTAAAGGCAAAATACATATCATGTAAGTTACAGAATAAAAGGGATGAGAAATGAAAGGAAGTATTACTGACCTCAGTCTCAAGCTATATGCACGAGAACTGAGGGAAAAGGAAATAATTCAATGAATGAATGTATCAGTGGCCTGGCATGGATAAGTCTGAAATAATAGAAAAGGGAAGTCTTGTGACTGAGTAGTCACATGGTCTAACTGAGGTCAGACTGTAGGATCTGGAAGAGTCCGAATCACGAGCGGCTGTGGGAACATGGCTGAACAGAATGCTCGCTCCACTCCCATAGCACATGGTTCTCCAACATTCTCCATATCTTTCACATTGACCCCACCAGCCCAGCCTTACCTCAGCACAGCTATCTATATGGTTTTGGTTCTCCCAGTGGCATGCACGAGGATCTTTAATGCTGTGCATTGACTGATTCTGGGGACAGCATCTAACTTGTGGAGGTCGTGATGCATGTAAACCGTGATGTCCTGACATTGTCTGGGTCAAGGAATGAAAGTCTGCAAGTTCAGCTACTTGGAGTTACACCCCATGCCTCTTAGTTTGCTTGCCACGATGATGTCAGGACACAGGTCTGTGATGAACATTGCCTGCATTGTGGGGATCCCAAGCCATTTACAGCAAACAACGCTCACGAAATATACTGCACTTCAAAGATGGGCTCAAGATCTCAAAACTATTATGACTGATGCTAAAAGGGAAGCCCTGAGTGATTTGGTTGTGGTGGGAGGATGCATGGAACTGCCAACAATGACTCAGTTTGAACTTGTGACCAAAATATTTGGATCCATAACCGCAATCGGGTTATAGCTATAGCACCCAATAAGTGTCTAATCAGGTGTCAGGGATCAGCAATGACCCTGGACCCTATGCCGGCTGCGCGTATGCGCGTGGGAAGTATGCCGGTAATTCCCGTCTACTCCGCTTACCTAAGCCCCGGTGACCCGGATCATCTCCGGCATTGTTCTGGAACATTCTATGATCACGTGATTCTATCGGCAATCCGTTTGGTTTCCTTATTGCCGGACTCTACATGTATATAGCTGACCCTAAGATGGGGACATCCCTTTCCCCCGGCTTTAATCACAACTAGGTTATCGGAGCATCTTGCGCGAGCACGCACGTCCCCTGACATCAGGGCTATCAGGCATTGGTAGTGGGAACGGCCACAAAGGGCCAGGTGGAATTGGCGGCATGCACGCGACATGTGACCCAATCCGTGCTCGTACATACAAAGAGGAGAAAGAAAGCAGACGAAGGTTAATGGGAGTGACAATAAGAGTCAAGTTGGAAGTAGTGAAACATAAAAAACAAAATACAACACAGAGCTAATGTACAAAGACAACGTAAAAAGATAAACATCAAAAGCAAAATACAGCACAGAACTAATATACAAAGACGATGTAAAAAGATATACCAAAAAGAAAGAGAGGAGTGTTGGGGAGGAGGTGGGAGACAAGAAAAGGCAGTAAGAGCTGAAAGCTGAAGCAAGCGGGAGTGAAGTCACACCGCGAAAAGTGTTGGCAGTAGCAAGTTCAGGGAGAACAGAGCATCGGTAGCGGCAGCAGCAGTGGGTCAAAGGAGTAAGCCCAGAAAAAACAGGCGGCAAGTTGGATCTCACTCACCGAGGGAGCGCGAGATACCAGGCGATAGGGGGAGGAGAAAGGGGGGCCATCAGGGTCCCTTTATAAGCACGGCCAAGGCAAATGAGTGCTCTCCTCAATAGCGGAAGTTCAGTACGTACCTCCACTGAATGGTCCGCTTCGCGCATCTGCGCTGAAACATCCAGCATACGTCTGAGGCAGCGTCCCCTGACCCATTCAGGCTAAGTTGCGTGAGAAATCACGAGAGATCACCGCGATCAGTGCTGGGAGGCATGTGAATGCCAACACGGTCCCGACAGGGTGCAGCCAGGTTTCCCAGCTAGTGGCGAGCGGAAGCGGGAACCTGAGATCAGCTGATGGTAAGTTGCTATCCCATGATTAGTCTCGTGAAATGGAGACATTAAACAACAATAAAACGAAATTCCGGGGTTTTCCGACAAGCCAGCATCAATATCACGTGTGGCTGGATCCGTGCCTCGTGCAAAGTGCGCGCACTGGTACCTCTGACACGTGTGCACCCACCCTTCCGGGTATTGCTTCCGTGAAAGGAATTGCAGCATCAATATCGCGATTCGCTGAAGCAAGCCTAGCTTCTCCCAAAACATGTAATTAAGCGCACGCGTACGAGTAGATATCCATGCCTCGTGCAAAGGGCGCGCACCGGTGCCTCTGACACGTGTGCACCCACCCTTCAGGGCGTTGCCTCCATGAAGTGCGCATAGTTGACCCAGCATCAATATCGGCGATTCGCTGAAACAAGCCTAGCTTCTCCCAAATTATGTATGTAATTATGTATGTAATTAAGCGTACGCGCACGAGTAGCTACTGATGCCTCGTGCAAAGGGCGCGCACCGGTGCCTCTGACACGTGTGCACCCACCCTTCAGGGCATTGTCTCCATGAAAGGAATTGAAGCGCGCATTCAATATCGCGATTGGCTGAAGCATTCTTCCAAATTATGTGATTAAGCGTGCGCGCACCCGCTACCTGAAAACGGAAGCGTACCAGGGTCAGCTCAATAGTGGGGTAATTACGTAAGTGCGCGGGTAGGAGGCACAATATTACCCAAAGAAAAATAGTAAAACCCGGCATCCAGCATCACCGCGAGGCATTACGGACAATGGTGGTGCGAACCGTTCATTTTAGAATATCGGCACAAACACTGCAGTCAAAAACTAGTCCTACAAATTCAATCGGACCACGCTTCAAAAGCTCCAGTTCCCTATGTGGTTGGACGGATGCAGGCCAAGACAACCAGTCGATCAACAAGTCTCAGCGCGAAAACAAACGCGCTGGGAGAGACGCCAAACGCCGCTGGACGCAATGGAATGTCGAGAATTAATGTGGCGATGAGTTGGAGAAGTGGGCGGGGGGTTTCCTTCCTGTCTGACTGTCAGAGTCAAGATGACATTGAGGAACAAACGTGATATTGGTGGGAGCTGGCATATATTAACCAAAACATTGTCTGATCATGTCACCGTTCAATTCATGTCGACATTTGCAGCAGCCACGAACATGACATTTGAGAGGTGACATATAAGTTCTCGCTTTGTCAGCATTGCGCGTTGATAAGTTATGTACGCTTTACTACGATCTGGCTTGGCGGGAGATGTCCGTAGGTTTGATGAACAACCACAATGTGATTCATTGCATGGCGTTCGTTTATTGATTGTTATATTGTTATATAACTGGGGAACGCCGCCTGAAGCGGCAGATCCCGCTACTCTTACCTCGCATGCATGTTCACTCTCAACGTTACTATTGGCTGAGATGAAGTCCGAGATTCACTCTCGCTCTGTAAATCTACCGCATACTCTGATAAGTTCAGGACCACGTAATTTACACTGCAGCCATGCAGCAAGCGGAATAGAATTGTATGGGGCAGAGAATGGACCCTGGGTTTGGGGGTCATACAGGACCCTGTGCATAGGACAATTGAGTTTGGGAGAAAAAAATGTAGGAGCGCTACTACAGGAACGGAAACGGAAACGGAAACGCAACGGAAACGAAACGGAAACGGAAACGGAAACGGAATTCACAAATATATAAGGGGTAGGGGGTACATTGATCGCTTCGTGTTAGGTACGGGCAAGACCACTTCAGCCAAGAACGTCTGCTCCCACAGTCTTCCCTCCAGTGTTGGCCCCAATGGGTCACATGGTCCAAAATCTCTAGGTCTAATTATTAGTCCGTTCGAAATGTCGACGTATGATTGAGACTTCGCTTAGAAATCCGACCACAAAGGGTTTGATCGTACTAAGGCTTCGTCGCCTCTGAATTTGAGGCTCTGACCTCGGGTGAGCAATCATCTTTGACATCGACGCCTCATGTTGCGCTAGTGGGCCTACCTCACCAAAAGAGTAAGTATAACATGAATCAATTTGTTCTCGTCACTTGGATGACTGAAATTTGAAACCAGAAACAAGTTTTTCGGCACAATCATTTATTCCTCCCTGACTAGTTCCAAGCAGGCATACCTCTAGCGTGATACCGTTATGCGCGTATCACTCAGGATGGACATATCAGGATGCGCTAACACTCACCCGGCATTCGTGTGAGGTCAGGCGCGTGATATCCGTGGGACCTTCATCTCTTCTCTACTTAAGTCCAAACCCCACCCCCCCACCGAACTCTACCCTCATCGAACTCTCTACCCTTGAAATACCCTTTAAATTGCTCGTCCTCACCCGTACATTTCGTCTATGTCCGATTACGCTTGTTTCCCGTGCAGGGTGGATCATCGATGTGAGAATCTCACTCCTTTCCCTACGCAATCGCCTCTCACTGCTCGAACTTTTGTAACCTCGAGCAGTATGCCCACTGACTTCCAGGGAGGAAGGGGCGTGTGGGATCTGTCGCAAGAAAGGCTGGGAATGTCAAGGATTTGGCGAGGCAGTCCCCGGATGGTACAAGGTATGTTGCTGGCTTCGATGCCTCATTCAAGCCCGTGCACTGACCTCTCCCAACTTGGCACCAGGATCCTCTGTGGATCGCTTGGGTGAGGAGAGATCTTATGCCCCAGACTCGCTCGCGTGCAAGAATCTCTGTGAGGGCAACGGCAGGGCGTATGTGTCCGTCTAATCTCCAATTTCTGTAAATCTTAGCTTCCATTGGTCCACAGGTACCGGCGCTCGTCCTCATGTATCATCCGTGACCTTCTATCGTCGCCGCGATTCAGGTGCGCGACGACTACGTGGCGATTTTTTGCCTGGGCCCTTAGAGCAAGGTCCCCATGTGACGCTCACGCAAGCACCTGTAGGACTTCACGCACTCTCGAACAGTGTCTCAAACCAAACTCCTGGCTGCATCTCTTACACTCCCCTTAACCTCCCTTTCCATGAAGGGTATGATGGTAACTGTCACCCGCAGGCTTCGGCTCCTAACCACCAACTGCCACTACGACATTCCCCACGAAATGTTTTTGTGCCAGAGTGTTTCAGCCAATCAGGACAAAGCTGGGACGAACCGCCTCAAACTGCCTCGGTTCCTCATTCGGATAGGGTACCAGGGCCGAATCCAGACCTCACCCCCCTACATTCGCCCTCAACTGGTTTAATGGCCAGTTCTGGTGCCACTCCAATTCCCGATACTTTCCCAAGTAGCCTTTATTGCGAAGGGCATTATGGTGGGCATGAGATTGGGCATGAGGTGCCTGCCAATTGCTTTCCCACTCCTATGACACGCGTCCCATCTGACGGATGCTGGGACAGTGCACCTCTAGCCTCAAATGGTCCTATCATTGCGGATCACAATTGGTGGCAGCCACAAGCAATGCCTGCTAACAATACATTTACTTCGACCACAATACAGCACCTTCCCTTGTATCACCTGCCGACAACTGCAGTGTGGTCAGAGTGCTTTGACCAAAACGGACCGCATTAAGTGATATTTTGGAAAGCTTTTCCATTTGACAACGACATGATTCTTGGATTTGGAGTGGTTTGTGCATAGTGTTCGAGATCAGATGCTTCACGTTGTCAGCACACAATCTTCCTGCATGTTGATCATCTGCATATATTGTTCCTGGTCTAGTGTTGCGCATGAACTGCTGCCTAGCCTACTTTCTTTTTCTCCATGTTGTTGTGAGTGCTTGTGCCTTTGACAAGCCGAACCCCAAATATTTGCTTGCTCTCGTTTTCATCTTGTGACCACAGCAGCCTTGTCTGGTATGTCCCATTGGTTCAGACTTGTATCCTATATCTCACACCCAATCATCCTTACCATTCCACCACCCTTCCGTTTCTCGCATCTTCCTCTCCCAACCCATTGTCTGAATAGTGTGTCTGCCTGTCTCATCGCGGAATTTTCCCTGTTGTGCCTCCAGTCATGCTCAATTCCCGGGCTGGAGAATGGGCCAAAGCTGATTTGGGCATCGCACTCCGGAGTAGGGAGTAAATGACTCCAGGCTGGATGGCATGTGGAAAGATTTTGATTTCGCAACCAACTATGTAGAGAATTTTTACTGCGAAAAACGAAATATTAGGGAAAAGTAACAAGCAAAGACCCTGATGCTGTAGACTCTAGTTTGAGATGTTATAGAGAAATGAATTTGGGTCTCAATTGCTAGTGCCTAAATTGCGATTCAGTGTTTGGGAGCATTTGAAGGGTCAGAGTTTAATTCTTCAGTGTGGAGTTATATTTTCTTTTGCCCGCTCGCGGCTCAGTTGAAGTTGAACTATTACCATGCAACATTTTTCCAGTCCTTATACAAAGTCATAGAAGCACCTTAGTGACTGTGTAGTATCAATGAATCAACTTGAACAGTGTAAGGCCTGAAGAGGCCGCACACGCTTTCTCCTCTAATCTCAATTTTATTATATTTTAATCTTGTATATTAAGTCATTGAAATCGCGTGTGAAAGTGCGCTTGTCTAGTATTTACCAAGCCACATGTACAGTGCCCCAAAAAACTGTTGCAATGTTTTGCACTTTTCACTTGATGAGCTTATTGCACCATGGGAAGGGATTCTAAAATTTCAAAAAAATATGAAAATGCACTAGTATCCCATTTGGAACTCTACTAATTATTGTTAGAACTGGGCGAGGGTGGACGATTCTGGAGGGGAACCAGAGACTTAGCAAGGAGGGACCTTGGCCTCAGCGACTCAAGTGGAGCGCTGTGCCATTGCTGTTTGTCCATTTGGTCCTTAATTTCATAGGGGGCGAGCAGGAAGTCTCTAGGGGGCATTTCAGGTCGATTTCGGACTGAGGTTACAAGTTACTATGTACATTGTATATAAGGAGGGGTCCGGAATCAAAAGGAGCGAGGGTAGGATGAAAGGAGACAAAGGGAGCTGAAAGGAGGGGCAACACCGAGGGTCAAGGGTTTGACTCAATGGTGTTTCCCAAAGGAGGAGTGAAGGGCCAAGGCCTAAGGGGGAAGGAGGGAGGATGGGAGTGGGGAATGGCCAGCTGACTGAATAGAAAGGAAGCAGCAGCCCAAATAGGAATGAGGGAGTATAGCAGAACTGAATGGAGCAATGCCATAGTTGCAAGGTCTGACGTAAGTCTGGAAAGTCTGAACTTGGAAGTTAAACTCCGGAATATTGGCAAACGTAATTAAATGGAATGAGCTAACCAATACAATGGGTATAAGCGGAGGTGGGGTCAAAGTCCGAGGTTGGAGCTAAGACTGGAGGTTCCAGAGACAGAGATGCAAACAGGATTCCAGAGCGGAGGTCTGGAGTCAGGAGCATAGGTGTTGCATACTTGTCTGGAAGGTGTCGAGGTTGAGGTCGGACCTGGAATGTTCCAGAGTCGGACCAAAGGTGGTGTTGGAGCTGGAGGTGGGGTAACCTCTTGGAAGTCAGCAAGGAGGAGGTGACGGAAGGGGTGATGTTCGGTCTGAGATGAGTATTGGAGCAGATGGAGATAGGGTAGGAGAAGGACAGGAGAGTGGAGGTGGCATGAGGGGTGAGGGGAGGTGTGGTGTCAGGTCCGAAGATGAATATCGGAATGGACAGTGGTAGGGTAGGACTGTCAGGGCACATCCGCCTGACCCGGCCCCACCTGGCCCCACTTCACCCAGTACCCCACCACCCAGTCTTCTCTTACCTCCTCCCCCCTTCCTCTTTCTTTCTTTCTCCATTCCATTCCCTCTTCATTTATTTCACTTTCTCTTTATTCTACATGGACGACCTTCCCTTGTATCAATGTACCATTGACCCACCCAGAGCATGCTCACGACACGCCCAGCCCAGGCACCTTGGGTGACCCCCACTACGTCCAGCTCGCGCGTTCACAGCGGACACTGAAGGAGAGAACGAAGGAAGGTCAGTTGGGAGGTTCAAACGAGACCACCACCAAGCTGTTCCCTGGTTCTTTAGTTAGGATGGGGAAGTGTACTAGTGTTATTTATTGTAAATATAGTACCAATCCGAGTGTTTTGGCTAATTCTATTTTTATGGGTTAGTTTTAAAGTTCCTGGGAATTGACTTACAGATAAACCGAGCCCTGCGGAGCTGTTTCTTTATTGAAATTTCTTAATTTGTCTAGGTGTAATTCTGTGTAGCGTTATTTTTTAATTTGGATTTAAACTTGAATTTAATCTTCTACTTGGTGAAGTTTCAAAGATTCTATTCAGTTAATGAATTTGGATTGTGTCTGGAGTGTCCCTTGAGTTTGTTTTATTTTTGTCTTATTTTATTGTTTGTTTTTAACAGTAGCAAGATAACTGTTTTGTGTTTACACTTTGAAATCTGGAGTGTTAACCAGCTCTCCTGTTGAAATATCTACTTAATATTTCTCTCCTTAATTGCTGCCTTTTACTACAGTGGCAATCTTAACTGTATATCACTTTTTCGTGCTGGAGTGACAACCAGAAATGCTTGAGAAAAATAATACTCTATTTTCTTACTTCTCTAAGGGGGGCGAAAAGTCGCAGAAAGGGTCTCCCTTTTATACTCCTTGGGTTGCCTTCCTTTTTCACGCTCTACCTTCTATTTACAGGACTTATTTACAGTGTATTTTTCTCAAACTGAATAAAAAATGAAATTTTCATGCTATAGTTCTACTGCGCTTATGCTGCGCTGAACTGCAGTTCTACTGCAGTCAGACTGTGCCTAGAATCCTTATTGTCCTCCCTCGCCTAAGCTATTTTAATGGTTAATTGGAACTTGGCTGCACTGTATTTGTCGCAGTTACCTATTTCAAATTCCCTATATATACCATTAAATTTGCTATGACTCGATGATTCTGAATTCAAACTTCGCATTACTATGCGTACGGCTGTGCTGAGACCTTCAGCTGATTTATTCCAATTTTATTTAGTGACATTTAGTTAAAATGAGACTGAAATGGTAAATGAGTGAATTATTCAGGTTTAAAACTGAAAGAAAAAGTTGCCAGTAGTCAAGAATTACTCAAACGAATGTGTTATAGCTCTCCACTTCATTAGAACATCGTTCCCTAAAATTCCCGCCATGGTCCGTTGTAGTTTAGTGGTTTTCGTGAATTTCGTTCATATTCCCTGATTCCCCTTTGTATTATCACATCCTAATCCTCCATATGTATTGTTTGTTGTTATAGTAGGTTTCCCTTGAAGATATCATATTTTTATGTATTTTATTTAGGACTCTGGACCTCTTGAAGCTGTCTTCCCGCGCGTTTTCAGGTTTCTAACTTCATGTCCTTGTATCTCATTCATTTCTGGATGTTTTCTCACGTTCTTGGTATCATAAATTTTTATTTATTCCCACCTTTCCAATGGTGCTAAGGTTGTGTCCTATTTCCTGGTATTCGTTGAGTTAGCAAAGTTTCGCGCACACATTCGGTAATCACGTGCGTCGTTCCCATAGTTGTTTGTATGCGGGCGCCATTTTCGTTTAATTTATGATATGCGCAGGTGTTTATTTCTTTCATATGGGCTTCTGTGATTTATTTCAGATTTTTCCCTCATGATCTAAGGTTGTTTTGCACTTTCCGTGCTTTGTTTTGACCGGGCTCTTCCTTATTTGGACGGAAATTGGTCTTCGCGATCTGCCGAAGTGCAGATCTCGGTTCCGATGGCCGGTTCCCTGCACATCGCCACCCTCACGTGTCATTATACATGATGCAGATTTCTATATTCCTGTCATGGGTATAACTTCACAACGGCTGGACCATTTGGGCTGAAAATTTGCATAACTATAGTTCCCCATTTTTTATAATTTCTGTGTAAATTTCGTTGTATGTTTTAATTATGGATCCTATGCAAACATTGTCTTTTCCCT